GTAGAATTATTTTCACATCCAGTATAAGTATGTATATTATTAGGTAACATTTTTTTTTTTTTTTACATTGAGCACTATTTTGTAAAAATAAAAATATCTATAAGAACACCGGATTATATATCTTACTGTTCTTTCTTTATATATATATATTTATATATATATATATATATATATATAGAGAGAGAGAGAGATGTAGGAGAGAGAGAGAGAGAGAATCATTTTTGCAAATTTTGCAATAGGCATTGGCTGATCATCGGAGTCACGCATACCCGAATACGAGGGCCCAGCCAATCCCTATTGCGGGTTCCTAAACAGGCGTCTTTGTTCAACACCCATAAAGCCCATTTGTGGCTTATACTGCAACTATGGTTTGTTGGTCTTGGTTAGTTTCTGCGTGAGAGCGCATTATTTGGAGGGATGAACAGTGTAACCATGGCCAATCCGCTCACAGCTTCGGTCACGATGACTTGTGACTGGCACAAACATCAACGGCTCCCCAAATATTTCCGTTTACCCATTTTCGCTCACAACGTTTAGCTCAACCGGCGGTATGGTTTTTCAGCCACTTTGAAAAGTGGCTGAAAACTATGAAAAAGTCGGCCATGGTGAGATTCGAAGTCGTATCTCGGAAAGTGAACGTTCGAAGCACTGGGCTACCTGCCCATTTTATATATATATATATATATATATATATATATATATATATATATATATATATATCACTCAATCAGTTAAGTGCCGAACGTGATACACACTGGGGTTATCATGTATTTTTCGATACATGACAGACGAGGCTGAATATTTTTCCCGCAGTAGGTTGCCATTTCTTTCTACTAAAGACTTGGTTGCCAAGAAAGGCTCTAGAACCCAGTTAGTCCTGTTATTCAGTCCATAGCAGTAAGGGGAATAGATGAATTGATATTTTTTCCAAGGGTATTTGTGCGTAAGTGGATATAACGTACTCGACTGGGATTCGAACTCGGCTCATCAAGTTTACGAGACAATATCCATTACACCACAACACAACAGAAAACTTTAAAAAATACATAAGACGCAATAACGTTTTCATCTAAGTTGCCGAACATTCTGGATTCATGCAATATGCCTTAAACAAACTAGAACAAATTAGTATATGTCTATATTTCTGAGATGAGGTATTATGTACACTATTTACATTATTCGGACTATTGTCCTCATCTTTGTTGCCATATTTATTACAATGTTTCGACCCTTCAGTATCTGTCTATAATTCTGAGATGAGGTATTATGTACATTATTTACATTATTCGGACTATTGTTCTCATCTTTGTTGCCATATTTATTACAAAGTTTCGGCCTTTCAATATCTGTCTATATTTGTGAGATGAGGTATTATGTACAATATTTACATTATTCGGACTATTGTCCTCATCTTTGTCGCCATATTTATTACAAAGTTTCGGCCTTTCAATATCTGTCTATATTTCTGAGATGAGGTATTATGTACAATATTTACATTATTCGGACTATTGTCCTCATCTTTGTCGCCATATTTATTACAACATTTCGACCCTTCAGTATCTGTCTATAATTCTGAGATGAGGTATTATGTACACTATTTACATTATTCCGACTATTGTCTTCATCTTTGTTACCATATTTATCACAACATTTCAGCTGTTGTACGCTCCTGCCTTTATCAGGTGGTTGCAACATCGAAATGAATATTTTATTTCGCTCGCTGGGGTAGACTTTTCTAGTTCCACGTGCCATGTGTAACGGATGTCAGTTATCAGTTATCACCTGTTAATTCACCTCTCCAAGTTCTCCAATGCTTTAACCTGTTATTGAACTCACAAACCTTGGATCCTGTCACTAGATCTAACCAACGCATTTATCCACTGTACCTTAAGGGTTCAGTTCGACATTCCAACCTCCTGAAGAAGTCCGGAGCATACAACGACCGAAACGTTGTGCTAAATATAGCAACAAAGATGAGGACAATAGTCTGAACAATGTAAATAGCGTAGATTAAATTACTTAAATTAATCTTATAATTTGTTTCTAAGCCATTTAAATGAAAATATGCAATATGCAAATGTCGAGGAAAAACTATGACATTTGCTAGGCTTATGGCAATATCGCGCTTAAACATTGGTTCCTATGCGATCGGCGAAGTTAGGCAACGTCGAGCCTGCCCAGTAACGTGATTGATGACATCTTGTGAATACCAATTGCAGTTAGTTGGATATGCGGACGGTGAAATGGATAATGCTTGGGAATTGTTAATCTGAAAACCGAGTTCCAATTCCAGTCGGGTTCCTTGTATTCGCTTACGCTTTGGGAAAGGCATGAATCCACTACTCTCCCTAGCTAGAGTAAAGAAGTGGGCATGTCTTTTTGGATGTATAGAGACTACCATGATCACAAAGTGAGGGATCAGTTTATATACTGATTTTAATATAGAATTGATTCCCCGCTATATATTCACATTATAATTTCTTTATTGATAAACCGTAGA